TTATATTAAGGTTTAGTGTTTAAGATTTAGGCTTTAGGGGTTTAGGGTTTCAGGTAGGACTGCCCTGTGACAAGGATTTCACAACCTTGTGATCATCATCTTCTTGCGCATCATTGTCATCATCATCATCACTGCTGCCATCGGCCTCATGGCCGTCAACGTCGGCGTCATCACCAGCACCATCATCATCTTCTTCGTCCTCCTCATCATCACCACCTTCGGACTTAGCATCATCCCTTCCCCAACTTCCATCACCATGATAAGCAGATCCACTCTTGATGGGCTAATGGCAGCTATCGTTTATTTCCTCCTCATCGCCATGCCACCATCAACACGACCACCACGACGTTTGCTCCCAGTACCACGATGCCATCACTATTAGCCACAGCAACGCCACCGATGGCTTCAAGCTCTGTCTTCTTCTTACCTTTCTTGTGATTCTGATTCTTGCTTAATCTCATGACAGGTGTCCTGCTTCATAATTCTATTGATTTTCCTGCTGTCCTTCTGAACTTTGTTGCATTACTGAGATTCTTGTCAGCCTCATTGTTATTCGTTCGTCGTCCTTGCGTTCTTCTTCCTCTTCGTATGAACCTTGGTCCATCCACAGAACCTCAGCATCAAAATCAGCAAAAGCAGCTGAACTCTAAAATCCTACACCCTAAAGCCTCAAACCTAAACCCTAAAACCCCACACCCCTGCAGCCCGGTTTTCGGTTTCCCTTTCTTCGGTTTAGAGTCCGCTTCGCTCACGAATACACCAGAGTTTGGGACCCCCGAATTTCAAGCGTTTCGGGAGCATCTGGGTTCGCCATGAGAGCCTGCCGTAAGGGCTCAACAGACGGTTTAGGGTTTAGGTTTTGGGGTTTAAGGTTTAGAGTTTAGGGTTTAAGGCTTAGGGTTTAGGAAGTAGAACAGGGCTCCTTTCAAGGGAGCCTAAACCCCAAAGGAACCCTAACCCCCCTAAGGGTTCCTGAAAAAGGATCTCTAAGGGCCTTCCTTGACGGTTCTTCAACAGATTTTGTTTTTCTTGTTTTTGGGGGCCTTTTAGTTTGGGATCCTGAGGTTGAATGCTGCGGCTGTCGGGGTTTAGGGTTTAGGGTTTAGGGCTTGGGGTTCAGGGTTTAGGGTTTAGGGCTTGGGGTTCAGGGTTTAGGGTTTAGGGTTTGGGGTTTAGGGTTTCAAAATTAGGGTTTAGGGTTGGTTTACGACTTAGACTTGAAAGGCTTGGGCTTTGGGTTCAAGGATTAGGGTTTTCCGTGCTTGGGTCTGCGTCCTTCTGGTGCAACATCAGCTGCAGCCATCGCCGGCTTCGTAAGATTGCCAGAATCGTAAGCTCAGACCTTCCTTCTGGTTTCCAACTTTGCACTTCTTATGGCTATGCTGCCCTCTGTTTTACATACTACGGACAGCTGCACAGAGATTACGTACGAAAGCCCAATGTTGCACGAAGCAGCGAAGGCTTGCGGGTATGTTCGTTCTGCCAACATGTTTTCTGTTGAGGGCTCTGTCTGTTGGGCCTGCGGGCTTTGTTTGCTTAAAAGACAGCGGCCGGCGAAGAGTCCACGGGTCGCCTGCTCACGCTCTTCGTGTGTCAGAATAGGACATCCGGACGCTGCTACCAGGCAGAAAGGACAAGAGGTCTCTCACAGCTCCACTCCCCTGAAGACACTCCATGAGCTCGGAACCCTGACAAGGGGTCGGTTACAAGTAGGATAACTACAGTTATAACCCAAATTCGGGGACTTGTAACCCTACTTATGACCTCCAATCAACCCTCGGGCCCTTGGGCACCATTTCCCAAACAACCACGTCGCCCTCGACGGTGAGGGCCCAAATCTCGGCTGCCAGCTGCTTTACAGGTTTGGTAAAGTACTGACTTTTTTAAGGCTTCTTTCTGTGCTCCAATGGGCCAACGGTCAGTCTTGAGTGCGGATTCGGTTGTAAGGCAAACCTGTGGTTGATACACTGGATAAGCCCCGTTTCTGCAAGAGCTTCAACACTAGCAACACGATCACTATCCTACTTAAGGAAGATTCATTACATACCCAGACCCCCAACTACCCTCTAAAATACCTCAAATGCCCACCATTAAGGGCCGTTAGGGCTCCATTAAAGGGCCCTTTACAGGGTCCTGGTAGCCAGTGGGTTTAGGATGTCGGGTGTAGGGTGGCGTTGTCGCGGGCCCTTGGCGCAAACAACGAGAAGTGCGGAGACAAGCTAGGTTCTTGTCAGGGGTCTTACTTTAAGCTACCATAATGGGGCTCTATGGGAATAATGCGGTTTTTCATCATTTAATATATTTTATGGTAACTTAAATTACAGCCCTTAACAAGACCCCGGAAGACTCCGACAAAGCCCCTCCTTCAAAGACCACAAAACATAAAACCAAGCCGGTGCAATGCTGTTGTCAGAAATCCAGAAAGCCTCTAGCCCGCTCTTCCTCCTGCTACGCAAACCTTGCACGATCTTGCACGCGAAGGCTATGCTCTCTAGACCACGAAAACACTAACCCCAAGCCATTAAGCTCGAGCCCTAGCCCGAAAGCATACTGCAGGTCACTGATACAAGGTGCCGAATGGTAATGGTGTTCAACATTCTTATCGACTTATCGGAACCATGTTTTATAACATACACTCATACACAGCAAAGCCGCACTTTGATGTTTGTTACGACCATAAACTACACCCCCACCCGCAGGGAGCTCCATTTCAAGTCTGAGGAGTCAACGGCGGACTCGGAACACTGCACGTCTTGGAACCTTCCAGAGGGCATGCGATGCCACATATGCCGCAGCGACGACTGCGACCGCCGCTGCTCACAAACACCTATGCCGTAGACCCTAAGCCCGAAACCACGAACCCAAACCTCAAGCTCCAAACCGAAACCCGCTACCAAAATGGACCCATCGAGTTTGCCAAGTCATTTGGCTCGCAAGCTTCGAGAACGCTTCATGTGCTAGGGTTGAAAGTCATGGGTTCAGGGTTTTGGGTTCAGGATCTAGGAGGATTGCTTTAGGGCAAGGAAGCCTAGGGAAGGAAGAATGGAGGGGCCTGCCAACGGAAGCCCCAAATCCCAAAACACTGAATCCCCTGCTGGTCACCTGGCATCCGCATCCTCCTTGAAGATCAATCGGCAGGGAGGCAAATATTGCCTCGCCAGAAACTCCAAAAGCCCGAACTGCCGCTGAGTTCCCTGACCCAGAGAGATGTTTCCCTTTCAAGTATTGAAGGATTATATGATTATATCAACCAAGAAGCAGAAGATTGCCCATCCGGTCGCTAAGAAGCCCCTACCAACGCTTACAGTGTAGGGCTTCAGACCCTGGACACATTGAATTGAAGGCACTTTCCAAAAGAGTGCTGCGTAACCAGCACTTCGACCATTCCACTTACAACACGACTACAAAATCTGATGAGAACCCTTGCAAGACGCGTGCTGCTGGAGGAGATTGGGATGCTGGATCAGGGAGTTGTGGGCTTCGAGTCCAGAGCTGGCGGGGGTAGACCTCTAAAACCCTAATATAGGGCAGAGGGGCTTTGGCAGAGTTTGTACAGGGGGCTACAAACCTGAATACTTAGAGTAGGGTTTTGGGTATCATGTGCAATAAAGGCAATAAGGAACCCTAAAAAATAAATACTTTTCACTAGATCTCAAACCTTTTTTGCCAGTTGCGAAACTCACACTGGCTTGGTTTGCTGTCAAATCCTTCTGTTCTCACTCCCCGGCTTGGTTTGCAACATGTGGCTCAGGATTTATGGTTACGGTTCAAGGTTTGGGCTGACGGTCCCTGAGTTTACAATTGGAGTTCAAAGATTAGGGAAGCCGAAGCCCTGAATCTTGAAGTCTCCGTTTAAGCCTTTTAGCTGAGGCTTTTCATGTTCCGGCCTGCACGACGCTTTGAGGGTCGGGTGTGGGTTTCAGAAGCACAACTCAGCACGAGAGTGCCTAGACTCTGCAGTCCAGTAACCCAACCGTGCGATGTAATAAAATCTCTAGAGTTCGCATGCGCTGAAACAATCATGAGGGCAGCGAGGACAGCCTCAAAGCCCTGCAAGAAACCTGCCCGTGATTGCATGAACGTAATTTTCTGTCAATCCACACAAACACACACAACAACACAATAACAGAGCATGTATATGCATATCTCTATACATAATGTATATAAATATAAATATAAATATAAATATAAATATAAATATATATATATATATATATACATGTACATACACAAACATACGTAATATTCATACATATATATATATATATATATATGGTCACCCCCTCCCATGATCCATGACACACTTCTTGCTGTCCGTTGAGCCTCACTCTTCTCTTGCTGCATGGCTTCATTTAACTATAGAAAGTCTCGGTATTTACACTGTGTTTAGCCCTTCGCTTATACTTGACATTGTTTTATGTAAATACTTTGTTGTCACATGCTACAAAGCCACACGAAACCCAAAACGGATTTTGCTTTCGCTTTCGGGTTGCCGGTCTGGTAACAGCTCAGTCACGGCCTGGCACTCCGCGCTCCGGGAGGTGCTTACCGATTGCTGTGCAAATCTTAAACATATCGCCTGTCAATGTCCACATGTTTTGGTGCTGATGCCAGCACTCAAACTGACGGCCTCGTATCTTCCTGGTCGTTGCCTGATTGCCCGGAAAGCGCGACACATGCTTCAAGTGCATTCGCAATGTGCCCCAAAAAAGGTCAATGATCTGTGTCCCACGCTTCACTGTGATCTTGCCCTGCCCCGGCATGTCGAGGATGTAGTTCTTCGTGTAGCGCCGGCGGCGCCGGCGTACCCAAACGGCCTTTTCATGACCATGAGATCAAACACAACATCCACATCCAAATGTACGGAACTATGCTCGAGTTAATGCCTTACGGCCTTACGACAGTGATGTGATTAACAACTTGCTAAATACCCAGCCTTGCCATTAACACCTGTCGTGTCTTCTTGTGCACAACATTGCAATGCTTGCCTCCAGGGAACTTCATGGCGTATGCGCGGGCACTGTCCGAGTGCAGTATCCCCGCTGCTCCCATGAAGTGTTCTTCACAGCCTGGATGGAGGTATCTACGAACCTCCCCACGTCCACTTCGTCCACTTCGACATCCCGCCAACCACCGTAGGTGAAATTCTTCTCTTTGGCAAGCATGTACGTGCTCTTGGCGACCTCGAGATTCTTGTAAATGAGGTTTCTACTGGCTTCTTTGCGATGTCGAACATGAGATGATTTGCAGTTTCCTTGACACCAACCGTCGCACGTAGGAGAATGGATGCCTGAACATGTAGAGGAATCTGTGAGTTGCCAGCACCCATGAAGAACACGGGATGATAGTCGTGCGGCTGCAAGTACTTGTGGCATTTCATACTGTTGCACCGATGAGCCCAAACCTTGGAGATGCTACTGTACTTTAAGTCTCCCATTTTCCCTACTTCACATCTGGGACACTCCTTCCCCTTCCACTCTGGCAACATACCCGTCTTCTTGAACATGGTGATAAGCCACAACCCTCTCAAAGACATTATGGTCTGGACCGATGTGCCCCAAAGTTGACTGGCCAGTTTCTGCATCTTCGCCTCGACACGATGACATACATAGGGGACCTTGACATGCTTGTTGGTGGCGGGCTTTCTCTGCACACGACGTTTGCCTCGTTTGGGGTCTTGCCATGGCTTGGTGGTCTTCCGCATGGATTCCATAAGGAATCACACACTGAAGACGGGATGGAATGAAAACTACACTGACGGACTTGAGAATTAACAGCACGCACATCTTGTTCGACATAGCTGCTTGGTGTGTGGAGATTCAAACAAACCACATAAAGCAAAAAATGATTTGATTTTGATGCTCCGCCACGTCCTGCCAAAATCTACGCTCCGCGCTGTCGCCTTGCTTGCCACTGATAGTACGATAGCTTTCACTGGTTCATTAAGCAAAAACCTATGGGTGTACCGTCCCCGTACATGATATATTTGTTCGTCAACTGTTTTAGGCTTAGTTGTATCATGGCTTGCGCAAGGTTGCAAATCCATACATTTGGATGCTCGCAGTCTCCGCGATTGCCGTCTAACCCGAAAAAGTCCGCTTGATCCTCGATGTCCATATGCTCCTCGACGTCCATGTCGTCTCCTTCCTGCTCTGGAAAACTCGGATTCGGTGGTCCTGTAGGCGAGCATGGCGGGCTGTGGACTGTTGGTGGTGTCGGTGGTGCGGCCTGCTCGTCAAGTCCACACATCAAACACCCGGTGCAAACGATTCATTACACACTTCTTGGTGTTATCTAGTTGTCAATAATAAATATGGTATGCATCTTGTTTGTTGTCCACCGTGCTCTATACAGTGAAACATGTGACGATACCAATAAACTAAAAAACTGCCTCAGCTTCAACAAGTTCCGCATCGTTCGCACGTGCGGCCGAGGAGGGAGCACCAGGACACTCATCATCGTCCGACAGGGCATCGATCACACCACGAAGAGCGGGCAAGGGGACAACGATGCGGATGGCTCCTTTTTGATGGTGGGGGTCTCTGATTTGTGAGGAGGCGAAGCGATCTCTGCTTTGATCTTCTTCTGCGGGTGAGAAACCAGATCCAATACCACATTGGTCTAGCCCGTGAGGGCACGGTCGAAGGCAATAGGCTCCTGTTCGATATATGCCATAACAACACCTAGCTACATATTAAGACAGCGCCTGCTAACGAATCCCAGAACCAAAAGCCTCTTGTCAATAGCTCCGAACACTCAAAACATTCTGATTTTGCTAAGGGAAGCCAACAACAAAAACCTCATTTTGTTTGCATAGTTTCCGTCTGCTGCTTAACGGGTGCGGGCAGAACGAGATGCTTACGACGAGGAGCATCAGGAGCATCGAAAAGTCCGCGGCCGCGAATCTCGTATGGCGACTCCGGTTTGTCCAAGCCGTGACTGTCCATGACACTGCGCATCCATGCTTTTCCCACCGAACATGGGATTCTTGCGGAGGTTCACGATGACCCTTCAGGTATTTCACATATTCTGGACCACTATCCTCACGAAGAAGAGATTCTGGACGATCCAAAGAAATCCCTCATCCGTGCTGGCTCTAACATCTTGAGGAACGTGTCGTGGGCACATTTTCGCGGGCACATTCAAAACGACGCGGCTCAAGTCCACCATTGTCAACACATATGTGCATATATTTCTATACACATGTATGCACAGATGTGTATGTAAGCATATATATATATGTTTCGGAGTATTAACAAAAACAGGCGACAAGAAGAAGGAGTGGAAGGAGAAGGTGACAAGGAAGAACAAGAGAAAAATCTGGCAGCAACATCAGCAGCCTCTAAACCTGCAGCAACAACACCAACGGCAACTCTGGCAACATACCCTAAGAGGAGGAGGACGACGATGACAAGGATGAGGATGCGGGCGGCGATGATGGACAATGATGGTGATCATGCAGAGGATGCGGGCGATATCTGATGGTCATCATCATCATCATCATGGAGAAGCTGACTACAAGTATCTAGAGCCGTCACCGTTGTGACATGCACCACCACAAGCAGGACAAAACGAGTTAAACGCGCTAACAAGGAATGAACCATACCGCATTTTTGCGTGACAACTCTATCTGCCAAGAGGCAGCATGACAAACTTCGTAAAAGGCTGCGCCGACACTTGGCTACAATCCTGTGACAAGGTCTTAAGTTTAACTATATGCCGACTGCCATGGCAAAAAGCTGAACCGTAAAGCCCATAAGTAAGCCCCAAACCCTAAACCCCTAAACCCTGAACCCGAAACCCTAAACCCTAAAACCTAAACCCTGAACCCCTAAACACCCTAAACCCTAAACCCTGAACCCGAAACCCCTAAACACCCTAAACCCTGAACCCGAAACCCCAAGCCCTAAAAAATCCTAAACCCTAAACCCTGAACCCGAAACCCCAAACCCTAAACCCCTAAACACCCTAAACCCTAAACCCTGAACCCGAAACCCCTAAACACCCTAAACCCTGAACCCGAAACCCCAAGCCCTAAAAAATCCTAAACCCTAAACCCTGAACCCGAAACCCCAAACCCTAAACCCCTAAACACCCTAAACCCTAAACCCTGAACCCGAAACCCCTAAACACCCTAAACCCTGAACCCGAAACCCCAAGCCCTAAAAAATCCTAAACCCTAAACCCTGAACCCGAAACCCCAAACCCTAAACCCCTAAACACCCTAAACCCTAAACCCTGAACCCGAAACCCCAAGCCCTAAAAAATCCTAAACCCTAAACCGTGAAACCCTAAACCTGAAACCCTAAACCCTAAACCCCTGAACACCCTAAACCCCTAAACACCGAAACCGGGCCTGCCCTTCCCGTCCTTCCGCATGGAGGAGCCCCACCTAGCGGTTGATGATATAAATCCTGCATGACCCTAAGGACCCTAGACTATGGGAATTATGGTATATTCCTCATTATGGGTAATGCAGGATTTTTATCATCAACCGAAGCAGGAGATTTCAGGCGTGAGAGCTTTCTTTTGCTGAGGCGCGTTAGAGTAAGGGCTCCTTTAAGGGTCCCTTTAACGGGATCTATAGGGATTCTATCAGGGTATAGGGTTTAGGGCTTACTTGGAGGTTCACGGATTAATTATAGGTGGGGTTATAAGTAGGGTAACCACAATTATAACCCATATTCGGGGACTTATGACCCTACTTGTAACTACCATGAACCTCCAAGTAGAGCTTTAGAGTTCATGGCTTTAGGAAACTAACAACAATGATAATAATCATCATACAAAAGAGCAATAACCATAGTAATAATGCCAATTCGGTTGTTGTTTCAATCGGGTTTCGGGATTAGGGTTTAGAGTTTGGGGTTGAGGGCTTTGGGTTCAAGGGTTTAATAATTAGAATAGGGTTTTGGGACCCGGTATACTGTAGCTATAATGAGGAACCCCCCAAAGTAGTATTGGTAATTATTCAAAACCCTAAACCCTAAACCCTAAACATTATATGTATATAAACTGTATGACGTGAGCTCGCAAACCCTGGCTGTCGGCTGCAGCACCGGGCACCGGACAGGAAGAGGTCCTCGGTTGCCAAATTTAAGTTTAGGGTCAGGGCTTACGGCTTAGGGCTTAGGGCTTAGTTAGGGTTTAGGGCTTAGGGTTTTAGGCTTCCAAGGTTTAGATTTTGAGGTTCAGATTTCCTGAGGGTTTGGTGGGGCGGCCGAAAACCCTACACCCTAAAACCTAAAGCACGCAGAAGCTAAGTCGCCCAGAACTTGAAGCACCAAATCCCCGAGACTCAAGGCAACAGTCTCCCCTAAGCCCTAAACCCGAAGACCTAGAAAATTAGAACCCTAAGGCCCGGAACCCGAAACCCTTATATAACCAGAAACCCCAAAACCCGAAAGCCCCAAACCCTAAACCCCAAAGCCCTTAAACCCCAGAACTTTAAAGCCAAAAAGCCCTGCAACCCGGAACCCGAAGCCCCGAAAAAAACCACAACCTTAAACCCGCAAATGTTACAGGGTTTAGGGTTTAGGGTTTAGGGTTTAGGGTTTAGGGTTTAGGGTTTAGGGTTTAGGGTTTAGGGTCAACCCTAGCCCTAGAACTAAGCACGAGACCATTCAATAGATCTCAAGAGCACGACACTTACATGCAGGATCCCTAACGAGTAGAATGATTGTTGGGATCAACAGTATGATTGCTGGGATGCATTACACCACTCGCTACTTCCATTACGATACATCCTATACTAGACCGCACTTAAATGGGAGTTTGAGAACAGAGGTGAGAAAATCATGGACGAAAATAGGGGACCCAACAGGGTACCCTAAATAGTAGGATCCTTATGATAAAGACTCCCCATGTAAGGTCCCCCTATTTTCGGAAACTCCCAAATGAAGGAATTGCTGGCCCCCGATGCTACGAGGATTCGGAGGGCCCCTGAAGATTGTACTATAGGGGCCTTAATAATTAGAATAGGGTTCCCAAGGGTCCCTTAAAAGGGTCTATAAGGGATCTATAGCAGGGGTATATGACATAGGGGCCTTAACAATTGGAATAAGGTTTCGTGACCCATTTTACTACAATTATGCTAAGAAGCCCCCAAAATAATATTCGTAACTCTTTAGGCCCCTAGAGCATCACAAAGCTCTCAAGGAAGCCTGCGAAACCGAGACTGGGGTTCAAGGGCTTGTTGGCAGTCCTAGTGGCTGCTGTGGTAGGACTTGTGGTCGTCGCTGTTGCGGTTGCCGTGGAAGTAGTGGTAGCAGTAGCATCAGTAGCAGCAGAAGCGGCCAGGAGCAGCAGCAGTGGTAGCACAAATGAAACTTGCATCCCTAAATCATTCATCCAGAAACCTTCTACCCCTCCACTACACCTCCCAAACGTATCCTCTTCAAGATCATGCCCGTGCATCCTGTGTATGTAGCTTTGCTGTATGGCATGCTGTTATGGATGCAGTACATCCTTGCACACCTTAGACTGTACAGCATGCCGAAAAACTTCATTGTTCCCATGCAAGACTCATTGTTCACAAACGACCCTAAACCCCAAACCTAAGACACCTAAACCCTGAACCCCTACACCCTAAACCCTAAACCCAACTTCTAAACCCTGAACCCTAAGCCCTCAACCCCAAACCCTAAACCCCAAAAGCCTCACCTCCTCTCCGTTGCTGCCAAGGCGCCCCCCGATCGCTCCTCGCCACACCGA